CTTTGTTGTCTTGAAGTGGAGAAGTTTAGGGCTGAAGGAAGGCAATTGTGGCTGCAGAGGAACAAACAGCTGTCCTAATGACCTGTTTCCCTTTGTTTCTCTGATCCACTTTGTGGTGCTGCTTCAGCTCCGGTACAATGGACTGCTGGAGACAATCCGTATCCGAAGAGATGGTTTCTCCTGGAGACCTTCATTTGAGGAATTTGCTGAAAGGTTTGTTCAAACCTGAATGTTCCATATTAGATATTGTTAGGGAAGCAACCCCAGTAATCGGATATGGGCAGGGAGTGAAACAGCGTCTTTAAAGTTCACGTGCCTGAGATCATGGGGTTGTTTGCTGTGGGAGGCTGAGTGGGAAAAGCAGTGATTTATTGTTGTTTGCTCTGGGGGTCACATGGATCAGATCAGCACATCAAGGAAGTGGCTTTTACCATGCTGTTTTGGCTTGTTTTTCACAGATATGGAATTCTTTTAGTTAAACCAGACGTTTCCCTCACAAAAGAAAGGTAGGAAACCTTCTTTTGTTATGTGCAATCCTTTGTTCTCTCAGAGTTCTCGTGAGTTGCATAGCAAACTCAGTAAAAGGAACCAAGTGAGGGTGGGTTTTTGTGGTGATGGGGAACACATCCCTAGGCAAGGACAGTTATTGTTCGAAAAGCATTCGGTACAATGATGAATGAAATCTTTGTTGAATTGCTATGTCACAATTAAATTCAATTGCTATAAATCTGTACTAGCCCATCGAATGAGAACTGGCTCATGAGTACTCAACTTAGGGAGTCATGAAAATGGTCAGGTGTGTCCACTGAACTCAGTAGGACAGGGGCTCAACACAGTTGCCAGGTGCCTCTCCAGACTTTTTACCAATGACCTCATGGGAGGAGAAGAATGTAAAGACAATCTTGAGCAAGTAGCCAGCACTGAATGTCTCGCAGGCTAGAAAGGATGTTTTTGGTCTGAGAATTTTTTTTTTTTATGTGTACAGGCATAATATGTCCCCAGCACTTTGAGAAGCTGCCTGCTCCTTAGATAAATTCTCTCCAGCTCTATCCCTGTCAGCTTTTTACTTTCTACATCTAGGGTAACAACTCCACACCTCTTCTCCACTTTTCCAGTCCCTCCTTATCATGGTAACCGACAGTGAGAATGAAGCACATAGGGCAGCCAGCTGATTTTTTTTTTTCTTAATGTCTTTTAAGAAAAGTATTTTAATGTTCTTTCCTGGCAGTAGCTCTTCCAGCCTTCACAGAGCTTCCTTGAAGTTACAGATGATACTGAGTTAATAAGAATTGCGTACTGAATTGAGACCCAAGTCGGTAATCTCATGGATGAGACAAAGATGATGGTAGCCAGGCAGCACAGTGTGATTTCAGACACAAAAATCATAGGATGCTTTTGAGAAAGTGATGCCTTGCACGTATGTTCTAGCACAGCAGAATGTGGCTGAGACAGAAAGAAAACCACTTCTACTTTGCTATGCGAGATATTAGCAAAAAGTGCCACTGTGGTTCCACAGGATTTGCAGGTAGAGGGAGGAAGCTGTCTGTATGATGCAGCTAGAGTACTGCTTTTTGTTCCAAGTGGTGGTGAATCTTTGAGTGACCTGTTTTATCACTGGGGTCTGCAAAATGAAACTGAAGTTGGAAAACAGGCTTTCTCCCAAAAGTCTTGCTGTGGCAACCTTGCAACTTACATGCTCCAGAGAAGTTGGAAACATAATACGGAAAAACAGTTCTGAGCATAAAATAGGCTCTTTGGAATTGCCTCCAAGGGAGCTGAATGAAATCTGCCCCTGGGAATCCCTTTGATGTTCCTGAATGTGATCCTAGCTGTACCTCAAGGAGCACTACAGATTGACAGACAGTTACTGAATGTGATCGGGTGACAGGGGACAGAGAATGTGATCCAGAATCGTTAAGGCATTTTCTCCCCCTTTATGGGCTTAAAACCACTGGCTGCATGGTGTTCACTTTGGGTGGAAAATTATTTATTTCACTGTTTTCCTCTCTTTTAGCTGCTTGGAGATACTGCAAAGTACAGAGCTGACAGGCTGGATGTGTGGGTAGGTGTGGATCACTGTTGCCGGGAACGTTATATGCATGAACTGTTATCTGGTTCTCTTCAAGGAGAACTTTGTGACTGTAGGAAAGGCCTGTCCAAAGGATGGTTGGATGCAACTTCAGACAAACTTTTTCTCAGTGCTTCTTTCTCTCCTCAACTTCACAGAAAGTCACGACTTTTCTTTAAATATTGGCACCAGGAACAGCTGGCAAAGTGTGTGGAGCAACTGGAAAGAGCAGCAGCTGTCATACAGAAAGGTGAGCACGAGGGCAGGAGAGTCCCTCAACCCTGACCTCAGACCAGGGTAGGGAAGACCTTTTCTCCAGTCCCTGCTCCACCATTGCACCTCTGCAGATGACAGAAGGGCAGGGCAGGTGCCATCTTCATGTCAAGGCCTGGTGGAATCAGAGTGGTTATTGCAAATGCCCACCTCCTCAGTGCTCATCCTCACTCAGCCAGCCATTCAGACAGTGTGAGCCTTGGAGAGGGAAAGCATGTGCACAGGAGAACTGAGCTGAGCAGGATGGGCGTATTATTTGGCTGCATCCCAAGGTCTGGCTAACTGTCCTCTAGAGCAAGGGCTTCTTTGTGTGTGGTGTTGAACTAAGGGAGAGGAAAAAGAAGATAAATGAAGCAGATATCAGTCCTACATTCAGAGACAGGCAAAAGGGGATGAAGTTTTGATTTGGTGTGAGTTTTGTCTTTCCCTTCTAGGTAGCACCTGCTCTGGCAGCCTGTTTCTCCAGAGCAGGCACTGGGTAGTTTGGTACTTCCCTCTGCACAGGCTCCATGAGGACTGTGCAGTCAGGAGGAGGAGGAGGAGGCTGTCACCCTACCTGGTCCTTCTCTGTTGTACAACTCTTTTGTATGGGTTAAAGCATCTGAACAGCTTCCATCTATGCACCGCACAGTATGACAAACCTCAGGTTGTCACATGCTGTGCCTTGTTCTCATCCGTGGGGAAGATGTGTGGGTAGTGGGAAGTGAGAGAGCACAGGCTGCAGTTCATGTGCTTTAGTACCTGCTAGAGTAGGCAGGGAAATGCAACGACTGTAATGCTCCTGATGAACCACTGGCTTACACCATGACAGGTGTTCAGTGCCTTGGCGTTAGAGATGGGAGCTTAGATCTGTAATTTGATTTTTTTTAAATACAGGATCTGGCTGTTTACAGAGTAGATGACAGTTCTCAGGTGGTTTTGACTGCCTGCTTACAGTAGAATTTGCATTGCTCTTTATTAACGTGATTCAAGTGTTGAGGGTTCTGTACTGGGTGAAGGGATATCACGCAATGTGCTTCTCCCAGGGAACGACAAAGGCACAAACAGCACTTTTTAATAACCACAGCTTTTCTCTGAACAGTTTTCAGGGGATTCAGATGCAGGAAGATTTACCTAAAACTGGTGGCTGAGTTGAAAGCTCAGACACACCAGCTACAGGAGGAGGCGGAGAGAGAAAGAAGCCGGCAGCTGGCAATGGAATCAGAGGCCCAGAGTGAGTTACTCCCAGTCCCACTGCCCCCATTCCTGGCTGCTTGAAGTGCTGTAAGCTCTGGATGATGGTGATGGTGGCCTGCCCTCAGCTCTCCTGGGGCTATGGGCTCCATCAGTGCAGTGGGCAGGGAGGTGCTGATGTTTCTGCCATTTGGAAGCATGGATTTCTCTGTGGAGAGCAGAAGCAGTGTGGTGAAGGTTGTTTGCCTGGCTGTGGTGGGTGGAGGGCCAAGCTGTGCCTTTCCCACATACTCTGCACAGCAGAGTCTAACCCCTATCCTGTACACATGGAGGATGGATCTCATGGATCTCGGATACTAAGTTTTATCTACTTCTTCCTTCTCGTTGCAGAAAGGATCTCCTTTCCTGTCCCCAAGCCACGAAAGAAGCACCCTCAGCCTTGTCCCCATCATCCTGATAAGGCACCACAGCCACCAGTGCCACGGCCACGCAGCAAACTAACAGAGGTAGCAATACTGGCTCTGCCTGGGGCCCCTTAGCCAAGCGTGCTGATTACCCCCTCTCCTTCCATCTTCTGCATGCATATGTTCTCCTGCATGTGGTCCCAGAAGAAAGATGTCATTCTTGTTAGGAGAAGTGAGAGAGTCCTTTCCTACTGTGGTTAGCACAATCAGGACTTGTGAGGAACTGAAAGCAGTGTTTGATGGCTTGTGGCTGATCTCGTCTTAAGGAACCCAGGAATGGGATCACTACCAAACAAGCTATCCCAGGAAGTGGTTGAATCACCATCCCTGAGCATGTCTTAAAGTCAGGAAGATGTGGTTCTTAGGGACATGGTTTAGCAGTGGTCTTGGTAGAGTTAGTTTAATGGTTGGACTTGATGATCTTAAAGGTGTTTTCCAACCTCAATGATTCTATGATCCCCTCAAAGGTCCCCTGTCTTTGACCTTGCTTTCATGCCCACTTTCCCTCTCCCCACTTTCAGTTCACTCCTTTTGATAACTTCTTGGACCCTTCTGCACTTCATACTGTTTTGGGGACAGAGGAACAGGCTGGAGAAGAGGCAAAAATGAGGCAATTCAAGAGAGGGGCAACTCTCCGCTGGTTCAAGGAGACGCAGGCTGAGAAGGTCATGGAGGATGATGGGGCCTTTCCAAGCTGGCTGTACGGGATGATCAGCCGGAGGTGAGTACACTGGACACAGCAGCTGCAGGTTGGGCTGTGGCAGGCAGGCAGGAGCAGAATGGACTTGCCAGGATTTGCCTCCTTAAGTAATGGGAGTGACCTGCATAACCTTTCACTTCTAGGCAGTGAGCTTCAAACCCATAGGGGGAAGCTTGGAGCTTCCTGTCACAGGCTGTAAATGCTGAAACTTTACCCAGGTCCAGGGATAGCCTGTGGAAATGCTCAGGAACTAAGTCCCCTGTGGGTTTGTGGGTTCCTAAATAGAGATGCTGTGCAGGGAGGGGGGTTTTGGGAAGTACATGGAGAGGAACTACACAGATGGGTTTACCCTGTTGTAGACTATTTGCAGAGTCATGCTATGGAATGAAGATGGACTTTTGGTCTTGACTCATTATGACTGTTCTCATATCTCTCAGTTCAGATCAGGAGGAGGCTTTAGTTTACAGCAGAAGACAGAATTCAGTGTACGTCTATTTTAAAAATTATTAAGAGGGACTTTTGTGAGTCCCCAGTAGCAAGATTCCCCCAAAGCCACCAGGTACAGGAAGAGGAAGGTTTTTTTGGTCAATACCTCTGCCCATCTAAAGGAAGTTGCACCACAGGTGGAATTTGTATCCCTTTAGGCTCAGAGAGTTAGGGTTAGGGCCCTAACTTTTACAAAGCCCTACTTTCTTAGAGAGTTTTTTTCCAAGTTTGTGAACTTTTTTTGGGAAAATTTATTTAAATGCTTGAAATTTTGCTACAGGGTATGCCTCACAATTCACTCTCTTGGCTGAGCCAAGCACTATTTTCCAAGCAGTGTGATAATCAGACAAGTGCTGATTGTGCCAGTGATCAGATGGGAGCAAGACAGTGCCTACCTGCAGGGTTAGCAGATGGACTTCAGAATTTCTGGCTACAGTCTCCACTGTGTGCAAATTAATCTCTGGTGTTGCATGCTTCCTAACTGCCAGCATCCCTTATTTGGTAGGACTTGTGTGTGGGCTTTGCTGCCAAGTGTGCCTGTCATTTGAACACACTTCCCATCTTGTTGCAGTTTGTAACTTCTTTCTGTTAATGCTGCAAGTCTCCTTCAGCCTTTCCAGATCACAAGTTCCTGGGTTTTGTCAGCTTATCAATGTGAACATTACTCAGAAACATCACACAGCATGTTAGCTTAGTGAAGGACACTACAGTAGCTGACAACTCCTTGGTAGCTGCATTTTTTTTTCTTTTTTTTTTAAAGATAATTAGCAAGGACCCCATCTGCATAAATGCTTTTGTCCACGGACCCAAGAATATAGGAGAGGAACTAGTGCCTGGAAGACAAAACTGCATTCCAATAGAGGGTAGCTGTGAGCACATCACAATGAAGGACATAGCAGGTCCTTCTCAAAGACACTGAAAGTTAGATACTTTCAAAGTGGTGCTTCCTGTTGCTGGTTTTCAGTCTCCATACAGCAGTGTAAGCTCAGCGTCATGTAACAGAGCACCCAGAGCAACCCCAAACAGCACTGGTGATCTGCAGTGAGCTTTAGCCTGGAGCATGGCACACAACAAGCACAAAGCAGTGCTTTGTTGGGCAGAGAGGGGCAAGACCTCCTTCCAGCAGGAAGTTTAGAGAGCCAGCATCGTGTAACCCAAGCTGGCGTTTTTCCAAGGCACTGGGCTTACCTTGTGCTGAGCACGACTACCCAACAGCATTCTGACTTCTTCCATCAGCCCTGGAGAGAAGGAAACACATATGTGCACAGCTTTAAGTGTTCTGTGCTGGAAGGCAGCTGTTGATATTGTACTAGTTGGACTGCTGGAACAGGTTTGGAGCAGCTCTGTTTCAAGAAGCTCTGGCTGAGGGTATTGTGCCTCCTTAGCCTGCTAATGCCTCCTTGGTCCAGCAAGCCTGAGCCTGGAAACCGCTAGCTAGGAACAAATAGGACAGATGCTGACCTCCCTCTGGACTGGGAGCACAGTCTTAGGAAGAACTTCTTCAGTACAGGAGTGGCGAGACTCTGGAATAGGTTACTCAGAGAGGTTGTGGATGCCCCCTCCCTGGAGATGTTCAAGGCCAAGCTGGATGGGGCCTTGAGTAACCTCGTCTAGCCAAGAGGCATCCCTGCCCGTGGCAAGGAGGTTGGATCAGGTGATCTGTAGGGCCTTCCAACCTAAGCCATTTTGTGATTCTATGTGAGATAGGATGGGAATCCCAGCACAAAGGCAGCTGCTTACTGTCCACTGAAAATCTCCCTCCTGTTTGCAGGGAAGCTGAAAACTTGCTGACTGACAAGCCTTTGGGTTCCTTCCTTGTTCGGATCAGCCAGAGCCAACCAGGCTACACCTTGTCATACAGGTAAGGTAATGAACCTTGCAGAGAAGTCTCCGATGTGGCATTATTAGTCTGTACAAGTCCCTGAAAGGAGGTTATAGCAAGGTGGGGGTCAGTCTCTTCTCCCAAGTAATAAGCAATACGGCAGGAGGAAATGGACTCAAATTGTGCCAGGGGAGGTTTAGGTTGTATATTAGGAAAAATTTCCTCACTAGAAGGGTTGTCAAGCACTGGAACAGGCTGCCCAGGAAACTGGTGGAGTCACCATCCCTGGAGGCTTTTAAAAGTCATATGGACGTGGTACTGAGGGACATGGATTAGTGGTGGACTTGACAGTGCTGAGTTAATGGTTGGACCTGTTGGCCTTAAAGATCTTTTCCAATGTAAACAGTTCTATGATTCTGTGAAACTGAGCTATGCACAGCTGGATGAGTTAACCTCCTCCACAGAATAGTCCAGTGAGGATGATGCTCAGCCTCTCCTGTTGTGGGTGCCTCTGACAGTGTGGAGTAGCAGACAGGACACTGTGGAGTCTGTCTCTTGCCAAAAGCTGCATCTGTTTGTGAGTGGGGTGCTGCAGCTTCAAGGGTGCGAGTCCTGCTTAGGCTGTGCTGTGCTATATGGCTGACAGGGCAAACCAGATTGGAAGAAGCACTGACTGGAGCAGAGGAGATGAGTCTAGAGGAGGGCCTGGACAGAGACAATCAGAGTGCTACAAGGGCAGGGTCTTTGTACTGCCTAAGGCAAGGGGTGGCTTTTTTGAATGGTATGCAGTACAGTCTGCTGAGTCTGGATCCAGCTGCCAGGGCTCTCCTGTCGCTAGCTCTGGGGAGATTGCTGCTCCTCCAGCATCTACAAATAAAGCGTGTGACGCTCCAGCATAGTGCATCTCCTGCGTCTTCGTGGTATTGGTTACTGTGGCTTCTGATCATACCTCTTTTCTTGAGACAACAAATGCAGAAAGCAATGACTGGGTCCTGGGGAGATGCTGTGGCCCCATACCACGAATGTTTCTGTCTTTCTGTCTCCCCAGGGGCAAAGACCGCTGCAGACACTACATGATCCAGACGCAGCCCAATGCGCGCTATGTCATCCTGGGGGAAGACAGGGTCCATGCCTCACTCACCGCCTTGGTTCGGTACCACCAGACTGTGGGCATCAAGCCCTTCATGGAGACACTGACTGTTCCCTGTGGGCAGGTGGGTGTCGGGGAACTGCAGCCAGAAAAGGGGATGGGGCACGGACTCTGCCCGAGTGAATAGAGTCACTGCAGCAGCATGTCTCTTCTGTGTTCCCATTGGGGATGTCCCATTCTGGCCTACAGCTTGTCCTCTGCTGCAAGCACTGGGAAATGCTACTAGCCTGGCAATGGGGGGAGTCCTGGGGTGGGAGAGAAGCCCTGGCAGGTGGATGACATTCCGCGTCCCCCTGAATGTTAGCAGTGGGCACAGATGTGTGTTTCGCTGTGTTATGCTTTTGGGGGGCGTGGAGGGTCTGCAAGCCACTACTGAATTGACTCTTCCCTCCCTCAGAAAAGCAGTGAGCGTTTGGATTACAAAGATCTGGAATGCCTCACGCTGGGTCTGCCAGCAGGTGAGGGGGAGACCCCTCCAGAGGAAGGCCTGGAAGGGCACAGCTGCTCCACCAGCAAACTTGCTCTGCAGTCAGGAGCAGCTGCAGTTCTCAGACACGTGTGGTTCAAGAGGAGCAAGAATTGCCAGAACCAACAGAGCCTGGACAAGAGTAGGACAAAGCCAGGCTCAAGCAAGAAGGGAGGCAGCCAACGAGCCTTGCCTCGCCTCCACTCTTCCATACGCCTGGCAGTGCAGGAAATCCAGCAGGTGAGCACGAGCATATCTTCTGCCAAGCCTTGCCACCCACAACCACGTGGTGAGACTTGTGGAGCAGCCCTGCCCAGGGGTAGGAGAGAGGCGGCTCCCACAAGTAACGCTTGCTTCCCAAGCTGCTGGATCATGGCTTTTATTTGGTGGTGTTGGGTCAAGGCTGTGTTCGTTGGAAATGCTGGGCTGGAGGGGATGCTGGGAGAGGCTCATTGAGGTGCCCAAAGAAATGTCTGCAACAGAAAGGGCCTATGACTTGGCCAGTGTCCCCCTCACTGCTCCCCTAATGCTGCCTCTCTGCTTTTCACTGCAGTTCTCTTCCAGTTCCTTGAATGGAGGCATTCTGTCAAACTCTCAGCACTGACTGATGATGTAGAGCCTTGGTGACACGGTAAGAGGAGACAGCACACAGGAGGGCAAACAGCAATTGCAGCTTCCCCAAGAAATGAAGGAGCCAAAAGGGCTCCTCCATTCCTGTTCCACCTGGAGCGTCTCTTGGCCACCAGGAGCCTAGAAATAGAGCAGGAAAAACAGATGGCAGTGGCCAGCTTCTATTTCAGGCCCACAAAAAGACGGGGAAAAATGGGAAGGATTAGCATAAGGCTGGGTTCTTAGCAGCTGTGGTGCACAGGGTGCTTGCAGTACAATAACAAGGCTGCTGGAGGGAGCTCACAGTTTGTTAGAAGCCTAGGGCTGGAAGGACAAGGACTATCAGAAAGCATATCTGCATGCTACAGTAGCCACCTGCAGTGGTTTAGTGTTGTGGAGAGGGGCATGTATTAGGAGTGGGTGGTGGGCAAAGAGCTCTGGTGGGTAGCCGTGCCATGGCAATGGGCCAAAGGCAAGGCCAAGAACATAAGAAAAAAAGCAGCAGTCTGTGAGGACTTTAAACAAGGTCTCAGCAGCTGGAAACACAACTGGTTACTGAGGCTGTAATATCCTGGGCAGGCTATGGGAGTCTATAGAGCACGCCAGTAAGGGCCTGCTGACAAAGCTGGCTATGTCCAAATTGTCTGAAGCATCTAGTGGATGAGCAGCTCCTCCCCCATGCAGCCAGTGGGTAGATCCCTGTCCCATTCTTGCTGAAGGCAGGAGGAAGCAGCAGTGGTGCTGTTGTACACCTCTGGGAAAATCTAGATTTATGTCAGCTGGGACTGGAGAAGGATCAGAAGACCATGTTGTTGGCTGCATACCCACTATGGTGCTTGCACTGGGATTGCTGAGTTCCCTGCGTGGTTCTGCTCTCAGGAATTCATGTTAGAGCAAAGCTTTTTATCTGAGGCCTGTCTTGTCTTCCTCTTGATGGCTGAGAAAGTCCTCTCCCTGAAGTGTTTGACTCCATTGCTTCATTCCCATGCATATGTATTGAGGTACCCAGGGGATGTGTCTGAGGTTAGCCCAAAGAAAGACAAAACATGAGGGATCCACACAGATAACTGCAAGTGTGGTATATTGGGATTGCTGAAATGGAGCCCTCCTTTTATGTCCTCCACTGAGCTGTGTTTCTTGACTTGCAGGTTGAAGTGGCTCAGCTCATGCTACTTTGCACGGAGGATAGAGGGATTTCAACGTACTGGAACATGCTACTTTTTACGTATTTTATAAATTTTAAAATAAATCTTTTTTAATTCAAGTTCTTTGTAAAAGGAGAAGCTCAGTGTTTTCTTTGTTTCTGTTACCTGCAGTCAGTTCAGCTAATGCCTCCAAGGGTAGACACAGGAGCATGCTGTCTCAGTGGAGAAGCTGAAGGCTCCTGGTGTACAACTGCTGCCCGTAAGAGTGTTCTGCTCCCATGCCACCCTGCTCTCCTGGTCTGTGCTGCGGGAGAGCTGCACCGAGCTCTGTCT